CATACCTCCCATGTATCACTGTTGGTTTCAAGAGGCATCAATAATGAATGGGAAGAGAAAAGTGAACAGGATCCTCCCACTGTGGATTCTGCAGTCCTTCTTAGACCTAGAACTCTGTGATTCTAGGAGCTGGCCCCTTTGACTCCTGTTATGCACACATTGTCAGTAACATTCTAAAAAGCAGCTTGGTAGTATTGGGCTGATCCAAGGGGAATAAAGGGACACGTATGCATTAAATATCTGCCACAAGGCTGAGCAGGGTGGCTCATACCTGTAGTCCCAGTGCTTTAAGAGGCCAAGGTGGGTGGATCACTTGAGGTCAGGGGTTCAAGACCAGCCTGACCAACATGGGGAAACCCTGCCTCTACAAAAATACAAAAATTAGCCCAGCATGGTGATGTGTACCTGTAGTCCTAGCTACTTGGGAGTCTGGGGCAGGAGAATCACAGTGAGCCAAGATTGTGCCACTGCACTCCAGCCTGTGTGACAGAGTGAGACTCCTTCTCAAACAACAGCAATAACGACAACAATAACAAAACTATCTACTGCGTGTCAAGCACTGTTCTAGATGCTGGGGATTCTGCAGTGCACAGAACAACATCCCTGCCTTCAAAGAGCTTACAATTTAGTTAAGGGAGTTGGTACACAAAATAAATAAACACAATATTTATGTCATGTTTATTAAGTGTGTTGATGATGAGGTAATCTCAATATGTCTTGTTCATTAATTGTGTTCATGGCGATAAGTGCCGTGAAGAAATTTAAAATTATATAAGGGAGCAGAGGGATAGGGTGGAATTTTATACAGGCATGTCAGGGAAGGCCTCCCTGGTAAGGTGAGATTTAAGCAGATACTTGAATGAAGGGAGGCAGTGAGCCATGTGGATATCTTGAGAATGAGTTGGAAGGAACAGTAACTGCAAAAGCCCTGAGGCCTGGGAAATATAAACCAGGGAAGCAGGGTTGATGGCACCCACCTGTATTTCCAGCTACTTGGGAGGTGGAGGCAGGAAGATTGTTTGAGCCCAGGAGTTTGATTCTAGCCTGGGCAACATAGTGAGATCTCGTCTCTTAAACAGTTAAACCAACAAAAAAACCAGGGGCTTTGGAATCAAAAGGATACATTTTAGCTCTATGCCTTGGGGCAAATATTTAACTTCTCTGCACCGTTTCCTCATTCCCTACCCAGAATGATAATGATACAAAGTTATTTTCTCTGGTTTATTATAAGATTCAGTACATGTTGTTCCTGACACATGGCAGGCACTTGATATGCTGGTGCCCTTCTCTTCTCCCAGACTCTTCATTCATCCTCAAAGCCTCCACATAATGCTGACTTTGGTATCTGGCATATAGCAGGTGCTCACACATTTGCTCATAAGGGTCACAAAGGAGCACTTAGCTAAAAATGCTTCTCTTGTATAACAGGTGTGTGTTCTTTGCCACCTCCATTAAAAATGGTATTCACAAAGCCATTTCAGCCATATATCACTGTTAGCTTCAAGAGGCACTGACGATGGGAAGAGAAGAGTGGCCAGCATTCTCTGAACGTGAATTCTGCAGTTCCTCTGTGATTTTAGGAGATGGCCATTGTGCTCATTAACAGCAACATCCTGCTGAAAAGCAGCTTAGTGGTTTTGGGGGTGATTCCAGCGGAATAAAGGAATTCCATGCAGCCTCCCTCTTGATTAAGGAGGGCATGAGCTATACTGGGGTAGCCAGAGGAATGTCCACAACTGTTTCTCTGTCTTTGATTGGCCTCATGTATCACGAGAAACCTTCTCTGACCTTATCTCCCATAGCTTTTTCTTTTATTTTGAATAAGCAATACATGGGATTCAGAACTCAGAACAACGTGAAGTATACAGTGGGGAATATTTGTCCCACTCCTGTCTTTGTCTTGCTTTTTATTCCCTGTTGGTAAATGCTTTTATTACTTCCTTGTTCCTTCCAGAGTTCCTTTATGCAGCTGTAAGCAAAACTGAATCTACATTATTATTTTACTCCCTTTCTTTAAATTAATGTGTACTCTACGTGTGGGGTGTGTGTGTGTGTGTGTGTGTGTGTGTGTGTGTGTGTGTGTGTATTACCTTATTTTTGCTTAACAGAATGTCAATATCAACCCAGGTCACTGCATAGACAGCTTTCTCAATCTTTATTACAGGAGCGTGGTATCCACTGGAAGATGTACTATCGTTAATTTAACCATTTCCTTCTAACAGAGATCGGTAAACCAAGCCTTGAACGGATGATGCTCGCTAGCCCTGTATTTACTGAACTTTTTCATAAAAACATTTGGGCCTCTCACTAAAGCTGATAGGGTTCTTGAAAGTAGAGGCTGTGGTTTTATTTATATCTGTAGCACCTCAATAAAATCTGGGGATACATGACAAAGCAAAAACAAACATGATCCCTGCCCGCATGGCGATACTGACAACATGCAGGGAGAGATCATTGTTTTTGGAACTCACACCAATAAATACAGAACTATAACTGTTGACAAGTTATATAAAGGAAAGTGCAGGGGATTGTAAGAGCATAGACAAAGGTGCTGTCTTTGGATCTGGTGTGAGATATGTCGAGAAAGACTCCTCCATGAAGTTGATATTTGAACTAAGGACACGATGATAAGGGGCAGATAAAAGAGGTAGAGAGGGATGAGAGGGAGAAGCCATAGACAGAAGGAATGGCATATGCAAAGGCCCTGAGGTTGAAGGGAGTGCTGCATATTTATGGGAAGGGGAGGAAACCAGCTTGGCTGAGCAGAAAGCATGACACGTGATAACACTGTAGAAGGAGACACGCAAAACCATTTAGGGCATCTGATCTCCCTCTGAGAGCAGTGTGAGGCCATGTAAGGCTTTTAAGCAGGGTAGTGATATGGTCTGATTGATGTTTTAAAACAGTCACCAGGGAGGAAACAGGCTGCAGGGTGGGAAGAGTCCAGAGCTTGCAGTAGGGAGTTAATGATAGGGACGAAGAGGAGTGGATAGTCTTGGGAGATGTTACAAAGCGAAAGTGACAGGTCTGTTGATGAACTGATCATCGGAGGTGTGATGAACAACTTCCAGGATGCTGGCAGCTAGAGAAGCAGGATGAATAACGACTCCTTCACGGATTTCAGAATTCCCAGACGCAGCCTAGATTTGGACGAAAAGATCCTAAGTTCAACTTTTGATATGTTGAAGTTGAGGTCCTTTTTCTTTTGAGAAAATCAGGAGGAATCTATAGGAAGTAAGATACACATTCTGGAGCTTAGCAGAGGGTTCTGAGCAGAGCTGTGGGAGCCTTTGTGTATAGGAGATAAATGAAGTGTTAGGTGTGGAGGAGATTCTCTAGGGAGAATAAAGAGAAGGAGACCTGGAGAGGGTCTAAGGTAAGCCTTGGGTCTCTCTTGTGGTCAGTGGGCAGGTAGAGGAGGAGGAGGAGCAGCATGCATAGGAAAGAGACAGCCAGGATTAAAGGAGGAAGACCAGGACAGTGCTGCCGTGGAAGCCAGTGGAAAGAGACAGCACAAGGTGAACAGTATGTGCCAACTTGTTGATGATCTTGTATGCAAGGCCGTTCACCTTTTCTCTACCTAGTCTCACTTTCCATGTATTGGCTCATTAGGATCTGAAGGCTCTTTCTCTACGTGGAAGCAGGTGTGTAAAAGCCTTCTTTTTATCTGTCTGTCATTTTTGGTGTCCTTCTGAGCTAAAGCGTTATGTTGAACTCTGTTTTCCTTTCACAGATGACTATAGTTGCCCTTAGGTGACATTAGTGTGGGTGACCTATACCTAGAAATGTGGTACATCTCAAAATGTATAGAGGTTTAGATAGTATCTTCTCTGTGTGAAAGCCAGGTAGTCTACACTTCATTAAGTAAGAAAGTAACCATGTTGAACCAAAGACATAGGGGAGCCATAATTACAAAAGATATTCCGTCATTTTTATCTGTGTTTACATATGATCATCTGCCCTTCAATTGTATATTTAAGCCTAAAAATAAATCAGAAAGTTTTGCTTGTTACATTTTCTGGAAAGACTTTATCAGATCTAGTTTTTTAAAAAAACTTTTTATAGATATATTCCATCTCAAATTAATTCTTTTCTCTCCAGGATTCTGAAGATAACATCAACTTTTTAAAGGAAAAAAAAAACTGTATTTTCATGGATATAGAATCCAAAGGTATCTGCTTAGGGTAGCTTTTCCCTTTAGCAGAAATAATCAGACTAGCTGAGTAGCAGAAAAATCACTCATTATATTCTGAAAAAAAATCACAAATAATTGTCTGATAAATTGCTTTCTATACAATGACCTGCTTTCCTCCATGCCTAAGCCTGAAAGCCTACCTTTAAATTAGGTTAGAAAGGAGTTACTCTTATTTAAGATGAGAAAGGGCCCAGGAAAGAGGAATGACAATGGGTGGGAAGTCTTCAAATGGATGAGAATTCGCAGTGTGATAGACGGGGCAAAAATGGAGGGAGAAAAGAGAGAGAAATGGCTTGGTGTTTCATTCACTCACAGAATCAGCTATGTCTTTGTACATAACTAACATTTCAGAGAATGGCATTCCTCTAATAATGCTAGTTCTTTCCCTGGTATGTCAGGAGACATCGGCATTTAAATTCAGGAATCCTGTTATATGATCTTACCACTCAGGTACTCAAAAGTATAATTTCATCTTTAAAATAGTCAAAAGAATTTTAGCCATATTTGGTCTTCCAAGAAAGCCATGAGATGAACAATGCCAGTAACAATTATGAAACTAAATCGGCCTTATAAGAATAAAAAAATCAATTTTGCAAGTTTTTATTCACAATGACTAATTTCCATATAAATGATCTGACTTTATCCAGTCTAAAAAATGTGCCTGTATTCTCTCTCTCTCTTTTTTTTTTTTTAATATTTGCAATTCTTGAGATGTACTTAGGTGGAAATATTTGAAGGCATGTTGATACGTGTTGCAGTATTCTAATTCTAATTATTTTCTCTCTCTTTCTCTCTTTTTTGGCAGTATATCAGTTACAGCAAGAGGCACCTCGTCCCAAGAGAATCATTTGTCCTCGGGAGGTCAGTACTCAGCTATTTCCAATACACCTTGTTAAATATGATGAATTGTCAGCACTATGTTGAGAGTGGAGGGATTTCAGGTTTTCTGGGAGTTGATTTCTACTAACATTTGTTAGAGTGCCAAAAAATTTAACATCTTCATAATCTATATTTTGACATCAGACATTATTTAAAAATTACAAATCAACTTGGACTCAGATGTCTCATATTTTTAACCATTGCCAAGAAAAATTAAACAACCTTTGTGAGCACCAAAAAATGTATATTCTGGTTGTTTTCTTTGTTAATATCCTTTTGATTCTTTTGGGATCTTTTATTATGAAATGATTACAGTAAAGAAGGTATTGAGAATAATAAACCTCTGGGTACTTTCAATGCCCATATTTAGCAAATCTTTATGCTTTGTCATATTTACATGACATTTTTAAATATAAAGCCCTACAAAATAAGTGATGAGATTTTAATTCTTGGAGATAGCTTAAAAAATATATCAACTTGTTAAAGTGCTTGCCAGTCTACAGAACTTTCCTTAATTCACTAATCAGTTCTCTGATTATGTGGGATGGCAGGAAGATTTGAAAGGCAGGACTAAGGCTCTATTTTCTGTTTTTATTCTGATCCGTTTCTTTAATAACAAACTTAATCTCCTTCAAATCAAAGGCCCATGGGTCCTTGCTTATTTTTGTTATTACTAGGATTAAATACAGAGCTGCGGATAGGTTTTGAAGTGCCACACATGCCCTATCAAGGGGGAAAGCCTCAAATTCCAACACTGTTGAGATTCACTCTTGAATATTAGTACTGTTTGGATCTGGTTTTGAACATGTTTCAAAGACTTAGGTACATGCATACCCATACTCAGAGCCAAGTTATCATGGTGGAATACATTTTTCTACATACAATTTTATATCTGTTGAGGGGCAATGAAATTTATCAAGTCATCTAAATTTTAGTGCACTGTAGACTTTCTCATCCCAGGCATATGGCTGGAGAGGAGGAAGTAGCTGGTGCTTAAGGAAAAGCCCAGGATGAGTTCTATTTATTTGGTACTCTGATCTTGTCACTAACTCTGCAGTCAATATATTCAAATAATATATTTAGTAATTTATTACTAAATATAAAATAACTTATTCGATATTCAATAATCAAATCCAATAATATTGAATATTTTTCAAATGAGAGAAAAATAGGATAAATATAAATTTTGGAATGAGATGCACTAAATAAGGGTGTTCTCAGTGCAAATCAAGAAACAAGTTTCTAAAAATTCCTTCGCTCCTGCTTTTTATTGTTTCTCCATCAGAAAAATTATTGCCATGTGTAAGGAGGTCCAGAAGTTTAAATGTCTCAATGAAAAAAGTGTTTGTAAAATTAGAATACAACTAAAGACTCTATCTAGGGGCATTAATAAAAAGACCCTAGGCAAGGTCAGGCATCAGAACTTGAAATGCAAACAGATAACAAACAGTCATTCATTTGTCTGTTTATTCTGCACATGTATATGGAGAGCCTACTCTGTTTCAGCTTTGGTCTTGGTGTGGACACTATAGCAAAGAACTTGGCTACTGGCATTTTGAATATCATAATAAAAGACAACAAATGTATGATGTGATTAAATATATATTTAAGATTTTTTCTCTATTTGTATAGTATGTGTGTGAATGAGACAGGAAAAAAGAAAGAGAGGGAAGCTCTGTGCTTCTCAAAATCCTTGGAACCATGTCAGTTGTCCCATGAGGCAGGTGGCGTGTTAGCAGTGGAGGTAGGCGATTTGGATTATCCTTGTACAAACTCTTCCTAGGGTTCTGCTGAAACTCTTCAGCCATTCAGTGGGCCGACGGGCCACTGCATATCTATTTGCTGTTGCAATGCTGTCACCATCTGCTGTGACTAAAGGACATGGTGCCCGTGCCTCTTCTCTTCCCCTCTTGTCTGCCTGTTAAAACCATGCTCTTTACCTTTCAACCTTTACCAATTTGATTTATTAATAAGTGATGTCTGGTTGATGCTGGCTTTCCTCTAGAATTCCATATCCCATTTCTGCCACGAATGGGATATGGAATTCTAGAGGAAATTCCATTTCACATTAAGCAAATAGATACATTAGGTAACTAATGTGAAATGGAGATTTATCAGCTCCCTTTCCTCAGCAGGCAGCATGGGGCCAATCCAGCCAGGCAGGTGTCAGGTGGCAACAGGTCACGTTTGCTGGAAGAACAGGTGCTGCTCAGAGGAGTAGCTTCAGTTCCCTTTGTCCTCTAGTTTGTCCTCCAGTGTGACATTAACTTATTGGCGAGACCAGCTCCCAATATATCAACATGGGTTTAAGATCTCTCAGAGTGATTGCAGGTCAGTGAAAAAGAAAGAGAGAGACAAGGAAAAAGTTTTCTTTAAAGCTGGGTCCGGGGGAGACACCACATAAAGCTGCTTGGTGGATGTCTGACATTGCCCTGAAAACCTCAGGTTTTTTTATTATGCCCTTTCAATAGAGGAGGGGGAGCCAAGTTACACAGTTTCAGTGATAATTACAAAAAGAATACATTTACAAAAACTGGTGCACAAAAATCACAACGTGGTATTATAAAAGCAGAACAATGTAAAGATAACTTTCTGTGTGTCAGCATAGAAACCAAACACCTTAGCAAGAATAGAGGTTAAACATAAACTTACGGTTATCAGCAAGAACATATTGGGCTCACAGCTGCAGGGGGAACAGGATCTGACACAGGACAACCAGCTTGACCACAAAAACTGCAAGACGAGGGGGCCTCCATGGAGGCCTGGAGGAGCAGTGGGAGAAGAAAGACTTTTGCATCTTTCTCTCAACCACAGAGACAGACGCCTCTCATGCGTCCGTTTATAGGCTCTCCATAAGGGTCGCATTCCCTTTCCAGGGCCATAATCAATATGCCTTTCCTGGGAAAGAGGTAATAAGCCTCTCCACTACACATCCGCTTATAGGCTCTCTGCAGCAAGAAGCCCATTACACGCTGTCATCTCTCTCTGGCAGTCAAGCTATGTGGTTAGTCCCTTTCACAGAGTTCCCGTTTTTACCAGAACAGTTCAGCGGAGCCAGAGTTACAAGTTGCATCTCAGCAGAGCCAAAGTTATAAGCCACATCTCAGCATTTCACATTATCCTTCATTTTCTCAAATGTAATCGATACAATAAGTAACAAGCATCACAAAGCAAATAACTCATTTCGGGGAAACCAAATTCTAAGAAAATTTACAGATTAAAAATCTACAACAATTTCTTCTTGTTATTTCAGATAGCTTGGGTTTTGCCAATTCTTCCAGAAGCTTGGGATTGCTCAGTCACCACAGAGGGGTTCAGAGTATTCCCAGCATCAGCTGCAGATGGTTCGTGCCCAAACTGCCGAGCCTCCCAGGAGCTGGCCTCCTGCAAGTGGTTCCCCCCACTACAGACAGTGATTAGTCATATGTCTCTTTGTCTTGTAACATACTTGCGTGCTTAGGGGACATGCCTAATGAAGACAGAAAGCCTTTCAGTATGAGTTTATGGCCAGGGAGATTGAAGCTTTATTCACACATTTGCATATTCACACAAGGCAAAAAAGGCTGTTTCCTTTGATCAATGAGTTATAATTTTTTCTATGTACACTTTCCTATTACATCCCATCCCTTAACTGAGAGCCCATATCTTCCTCTTCTACACAGCTCTGAGTCTTCCTTCTTGGTCTTTAATCCTTCTCCTCCCAGCTAGTCTTCTCTGGTCCCTAGTACGGGAGCTCCAATATACTCAGTCTCTTGTTTCTCTGATGACTCATACCTTCCCAGGCCATGAGTTTCTCCCAGGTTAGGACCTGCCAGTTCCACATGATAAATACCCACATTAAAGCACCAAGCAAAGTGTGCAATTACAGAGATGTGGAACACTGCCCCTCCAGGATATAGACGTAGGCCAGTCTGCCTTGATGCATGGTGGTTATCAACAGATACCAGCTACCTAATGGGCTTTGCTGGGGAGCTGGGTGAGTCAAGCGTACAGACTGATTCAGCAGGCAAAATCCACGTGCTTAGCAAATCCAGCAAAGCAGGAAGCTCAGCTGCAGAGTCAGCTTGGACTTGTTTTGACTTCTTGCTCCACCACTTTCTAGCTACCTGATACAGAGCCAACCACTTACTCTCTCAGGGAGATGAAGGCCAGACCCAAGGATAAGCATCTATTTTGCAGGGTTGCTGTAAATGGCATATGTGGATCAAGTGTCCAATATGGTGCCTGATGCATAACAGGTACTCAGCTATTGTTCATGATTCAAGTTCATGCTCATGGCAGTCAGAAACCCGTGGAGAACAGGCTCTAGGATGTCATTAGGGACAGAGTTGCAGTGAGGACCATATTCTCTGTGAGAGTAAAAGGCAGCGATCAAGAAGAAAGCAAGATGCCCAGGTCAGGAATTAAGCCACCAGGAAAAAAGGTACTGAGGGTGAGGAACAGGAGGTACAAGCAGCAGAACAGTGCTGGTGTCAGTTAAGCTGGGTAGGGTCAGCTCCTGAAATAACAGTTCATTCCTTTCTTGAGCTTCACCACTGCAAATTCATATTTATTGAGCAGCCGCGGCACCTGGCGCTCTGCTGCCATTTCGTGAACACTCCATGCCAACAGATGCAAAACATCTTCCCATATGCGGAATTCTCACTTGCTTTTTCCATCAACTATCAGTCACATTTGAAGCATTATTGCTCACGCGATGTGTGCCTGGGTTATCGGTAACAAACGGTGCAGAATGTTGACCCTCAAATTTGTTTTTCTAGCCAAGACCTGTACCTGACGCTCCAGACACCTCTATCCACCTGTCTACTGGACTACTCAGGTCACTGTCTCACAGGCCACCACCAGCCTCATGTTCAAAATAGAACTAGGGCCCCCTCCATTGGATGGCACCTAACTTCAGAATCCTGTACGTCTCCCTTCCCTACCCTCACCCTTTTCTCCTCCATTCTTAGCTAACATCAAGTCTGTCTCCAAATATATCT